GCGTCATTAATTACTTGTTAATTGTTACTGGTTGTTTTAGGAGAAGCGTCATTAATTACTTGTTAATTGTTACTGGTTGTTTTAGGAGAAGCGTCATTAATTACTTGTTAATTATCACTGGTTGTTTTAGGCGAAGCATCATTAATTACTTGTTAATTGTTACTGGTTGTTTTAGGTGAAGTGTCATTAATTACTTGTTAATTATCACTGGTTGTTTAGAAAGCAACTGAACTACCTACAGTACAAAAATAAATTCTTACATAGGACCTAGCATGGCTTAATGGTTAACCTGCCTGCTTATATAGGACCGAAGATAGCTCATTGGTTAACTTGCCTGCTTATATAGGACCGAGCATGGCTCATTGGTTAACCTGCCTGCTTATATAAGATCTAACATGGCTTAATGGTTAACCTGACTGCTTATATAGGATCTAACATGGCTTAATGGTTAACCTGACTGCTTATATATGATCTAACATGGTTTAATGGTTAACCTGACTGCTTATATAGGATCGAACATGGTTTAATGGTTAACTTGCCTGCTTATATAGGACCGAGCATGGCTCATTGGTTAACATACCTGCTCATACAGCACTGAGCATGGCTTAATGGTTAACATACCTGCTCATACAGCACTGAGAATGGCTTAATGGTTAACATACCTGCTTATTTAGGACTGGGCATGGCTTAATGGTTAACACGCCTGCTTATTTAGGACTGGGCATGGCTTAATGGTTAACACGCCTGCTTATATAGCTGAGTGTCTCTTAATGGTTAATATACCTGCTTATATAGGACTGAGCATGGCTTAATGGTTGACGTACCTGCTTATATAGGGCCAAGCATGGCTTAATGGTTAACATACCTGCTTATATAGGAACGAGCATGGCTTAATGGTTGACGTACCTGCTTATATAGGGCCAAGCATGGCTCGGTGGTTGACGTACCTGCTTATATAGGGCCAAGCATGGCTCGGTGGTTAACATGCCTGATAATTGATCTGCAGAGACTTGGTTTGTGCCCTGTTACCACAAAAAATTCCCCACTTTGGAGCTATAGGTGTGTTATAATTAAGAGGGACATTCAAATCCGAATATTTCGGGTGACAAGAATTAGTGGTGGGTAATATTCGCTAGCTGCCTTCCCTGTACGCTTCTACTTTCAAAATCAGATAGGCCTGACGTAGCTTTGTGCAAAGTCCAACATAACAATTGAAAAAAAAACTTCTACATACAATACATATTTACAACTAATAATTTTATCTTACCAGAATGTATGGATTACGTGTTTTTTTTTGCGGTGGTTTATAAAGGACTCACTTTATACATTACCACCTTTCCTCTTCATGGTTAATCATGCATTGCTGTAATCTCTACTTATCTATCCAGTCACTGATGGTACATATTTGTGTAGGGAAGAACATTACGCTACGAGTCTAGTGTGTGTGACCAATGCTCTGTCAAAATATAGCATGTATTAAAACATTTCATTATGCTTACAAATCGTTGTGTCTTATATATACAAGATTGATGATACATGCTGTACTGATTCTGTGAAATCCACTTTAACTAGATTGATTATCCACGAAGTAAAACTGTGCTTTTCTAAACTTATATGACAACATTAGTAAAACTGTACATCAATTATAATAGTTTTTTTTCCTCTCCATTTTTTTCTTAAACTTTACTAAAAGGAAATAGGAAGGCAAACCCAGAGTCAAAGTGGTACTAACTTTTAACCTTTCCAAGTAAAAGGATTGGTATATGTTTACGACCTTTTGACATCCAGTTAACAAAATGTCGTAACTAAATGTAAATCACGTTCACGACAATTTAGAGAAATTACCTGTATATGAAAAGATTAAATTAATTACCATTTCAGTTACGAAATAAGAATAAAAAATTAGAAAATCGGAACTTCAATGGAGGAACAGATAGAGGACACTTGAGAGTAAATAAAATTTGTTGCCCACAAAGAAAAGAAAGTATCTTTATAAAATTAAGAAGAAGAAACGGCGTTAGACAGGATAATCTCGAAAACAACCATCTAGCACAGCAGATAAATGAAAACTTGCTATTATTATTATCCGAGTTTTACATTCTAGAACGAAATGATCACTTTTTAATTGATTCCAAAAGGTGAACACATATATCGGCTATATTATTTTTCCCAATTAAGAGTTTTATTTATGCATTACCTCCGAATAAATATACAAACTCGCGTAGATGCGAACAAGATCAAACAGAAGATAGATATTACACATAAATGAGAGGTGTTCGGGATCTTTTTTTTTACAATAAGGAATTTCCGAATATTTTGTCATGGCGGAACTCGTAGTCTCTCCATTATTCCTACAGCGTTTTATTTTTTATATAGTTAAGCACAAATATACTTTCTTATGACAGATAAGATAATTGTGGTAACCACCAATTTAGAAATTTGATAAAAACTTCCATTGCTGTGAATATGGCTTTAAGATTTTAGTCCCTGGAACCAATCATTCATTCACGTTTCAACAAACCTTGCCAAAGTGACATCTACCCATTCAATTAAAAATAACCAAAAATATTCTTGTCTGTTTCATAATGATATTACACGTTTCTTTTTCAAAGGTAAAATTGAAGATATAATCCGTAGAGTAGCACCTTTTATATATATATATATATATATATATATGTTTCTTTTGCCGTACCCTATTTCACCTATTTAAGCCCTATCAGCATAGCTCGAGTCACCAAACCAAATAGTGGTGTGTTTATATTAAAGGACTTAGAACCCCGTCTATATTCCATAGAATATACTGTTTGTGTTTTGGAAGTTCGAAAAGTGTATTTATATTATCCTTTCACAATATTTACAAAAAAGCAAGATTCACAAAATTATCCCATCCAATGTTAACTGACAATAATACAGCTCAGATCAACGGAAACAATGACCCGAAAGAAAAAAATGGCGTGTGCTACCTTCATGTCCATATATACTGAACTGCAAAAGAAACGTCGCAGTAATTAGAGGAAAAAATGATACAAGAATGAATGCCATA